TTTTGCGGTCTTCTATAGAGTATCATGTCATCTGCAAATAATGGTAATTTAACTTCTTCCTTTTGCAACAATATTCCTTTTCTTTCTCTTGTCTAATTGCTCTCACTGATGTTTTCAGAACTATATTGAACAGGCATGGTGACAGTGTACTTCCTTGTCTTGTTTCTGATGATGTTGGCTGTTGGTCTGTCATAGATGGATTTTATTAGATTGGGATAAACAATCTTCTGTTCCAGTTGTTTAGAGGTTTTATCATGAATGGATGTTGGATTTTGTCAGATGCTTTTTCTACAACTGTTGAGATGATCATGTGATTTTTCTCCTTCTTGTTTATGTAGTGTATTGTTACATTTATTGATTAGTGTATGTTGAACCATCCTTGCATCCTTGAAATGAATCCTACTTGGTCATGGTATATAATCTTTCTGATAATTTGCTACATTCTGTTTGCCCGTATCTTACAGAGGATGTTCATTAAAGAGATTGAGCTATAGTTCTCTGTTTTGGTTGGGTCTTTTTCTGGTTTTGGTATAAGGGTAATGCTGATTTCAGGGATGCCTTTGTGAGTACTGCTCCCCTTTTAGATTTCATTGAAGAGTTTAAGGAGTAGTGGCACTAGATCTTCTCTAAAGTTCTTATAGAATTCCGCAGTGAATTCTTTTCTTAGTTGGTAGTTTTTAAATTTTTTAATTTCATTGACTGATACTGTATTATTCAGGATTTTTATATCTTTTTTATTCAACTTTGGTAATTTATTTATATCTAGGAACGTATCCCTTTCCTCTGAAATTTTCATTTTATTAGAGTACAGGTTCTCGAAATAATTACTGATGATCTTCTGGATTTCTGCAGAATCCTTTTTTATTTCAACCTTTCATTTCTAATTACATGAATTTGGGTCTCTTGTTTCCTTGTTTTGGGGGTTGGTTTTTTTTGGTACCAGAGATTGAACTCAGGACCTTGTGCTTGCGAGGCAGGCGCTGGACTGTTTCCTTGTTTTGATAACGTTTGCTACAGGTTGGTCTCTTTTGTTTAATTTTTCAAAGAACCAACTCTTCAATTCATTAATTCATTATATTATTGTTTTAGTCTCGACTGCATTAATTTCTGCCCTGATATTTATAATTTCCTTCCTTTTGGGTTTGGATTGTTCTTGTTTTTCTAGAACCTTGAGGCTCGTCGTTAGGTTATTTAATTTGAACTTCTTCTGTTTCTCTGATGTGGGAATTCACTGCTATAAATTTTCCTCTTAGGATTGCTTTCATTGCATCCTATAGATTCTAATATGTCATACTGGCATTATCATTTGATTATAGGAACATCTAATTTCTTCTTTAATTTCCTCTGTGACCCATTGACCCATTGATTAGTTAAGAGGTTACTATTTAATTTCCAAGTGTTCACATAGTTTCTGTGGTGTCTTTTGCTGTTGATTTCTATTTTCATTGCAGTATGATCTGACAGGATGCAAGGGATATTTTGAGTCCTTTGCATTTACTTAAGCATGCTCTGTGGGGTAGTGTGTGGTCTATTTGATGAAATTCCCATATGGTGCTGAGAAGCACATATATTCTGTTGTTATTAGGTGGAACACTAATCTATGAAGTCCGTTTGTTCAAAGGCTTGGTTCAACTCTGATATTCTGTTGTTGATTTTTTGTCCAATTGATCTGCCAATCAACTAGTATTGACTAGTATTGACTTATCTTTGTCATTATATTATTTTCCTACTGTTGGTTCCCGTTCCCACCCTTCTAACTGTTTGCCTTACCAGATGGGTCCATTCTATTGGGCTTTTTGACATTGTTATCTTCATTGTCTCTTACTAGGATATCCTTAAGAATTTTGGGGAGTGCTAATTCGGTGGTCATGAATTTTTTAAGTGTTCTTTATCATGGAAGTATCTTATTTTTCCATCAATTTTGAAAGATAATTTTGTGGGATACATCAATCTGGGCTGAAAGTTATTTTCTTTTTGGGTTTGAAACAGTTTAAGGTTTCCTTGACTTTAGGATTTGTGTTAAAAAAAAAAATGCTGTAAGTCTGATGGGTTTTCCTTTATAGATGATTTGTTTCTTTGACTTAGCCATTTTTAAGATTCTGTTTTTGTGTTGAATTTCTGGAATCTTGACTATGATATCTTGGTGTAGTTCTTTTATAATCATGGCTGTCTGGGATTCTGTATGCTTCAGTTAGGTATATATCAAATTCTTTTTTATATGCTTGGAAATTTTTCTGCTATTCTGTAAAGAGGTATTTTTTATGCCCTTTGTGTTACTTGCTGATTTTTCATTGATTCTAATTAATCCTAGATTAGTCTTTGTATTATCTAGTAGCTGCTGGATCAATTTTTCCTATTCCCTTGCTATTTTTAAGGTATCTCTTGTTAGTTGATCACCAATCACAGCCCTGTCTTCTAGGTCTGATACTATGTCTTCACACTGGTTGATTCTGCTGCCTTTCAAAAAGAAGTTTTTAATCCCTAGGATTTCTGTTTAAAATTGTTTTATGGAATCTAATTCTTATCTTGGTCATTCATGGTTTGCATGTCTTTCTTTAGCTCCTCTATTTTTTTTATATAAGTAGCTTCTCTAGATTCACCAATCATTTGTTTTATTAGGGTCCTTATCTCTTTGATTATCTGTGAAGCTGTGTCTGTTTTGAATTCTCCAAGGGTCTTCATTGATCTGTTTTGTTACCTCTGCTGTTATAATTTCACATATTTTGGTTGTGTGGCTTCTGAGTAGTTCCCTCTTGATAACCCCTGGATTTGCTTTGGGGGAGTTGGGAGCTTTTGGGGGCATTTTGCTTCCATGTTTTCTCATTTTCTATTTCTGTTGTTGTTCTTCTTGTTGTTGTTTTCTTTGCTGAGGCTTGCAAATTGCTTATGGTAGGTAGCTTTATTGCTAGTATTGAGAGCTCCTTAGGTTATGACTACCTTTCAGAGATGTCCTCTAGGCATAGCTAGCTATTGGCCTCCCAGTCTATCCCAGCATCCAACCACCTCCATTTATTAGGGAGGGAAGGTTGTAGCCTATTTGGTCCAGTAGCCTGTTCTTTGGTAATGGGCTCCAGTATTGTTTATAACCCCTAGTTAATATAGTTAATGTGATATTGATATACATATAAATAGCAACAACTATGTCACATTGGTTAAAGTAGTATGATCAGCAAGAGCAGTAGCATCAAATACAAACTAATGACACACTATAATAACGACTTCTATACTACCTTTAACCATAGGACCAAGATCTACAATTGTGGTACAGACTCTAAGATAAAAACCATATATTGATATACAGTAAATATCTACTCAACAGAGCAATTTTACCACCATTCACAATAGAACAGTATTCAACTGTAGTAAGATATAGTTGACTATCTACAGATTCATAAGGATAAATGGTTATACTAGTAAGGATAAGGTGCAGGAATGGGAAGAGTGAGGGAAAAAATAGATTTTGCAAAATTAAGTGATAGAAGTTGAGAAGGTAGTGGTAAGATTGAAATAAAAGGTCTTATTAAGGAATAAAAGAAAATTAGTAGTATAATAGAAAAAACCAACTAGGAAAGGATAAATAATGAATAGAGATTAAACTAGAAGAAAAAATACTAAGGAAGCAAGTTGAAAGAAAACAAAGGGAGAGACTAAAACAAGAGGTCCTATTCAAACAGTAATATTAAAAAAGAACAACAAAATGGGTGAAAAACTTCAAATTCTACCAAAAGAAAAAATATATATAATAAAAAACTTTAAATACCGTTAGAGAAAACAATTGGGTGGACTCGGATGCTGTTCACTTGTTGGTCACTCTCACTGCCTATTGACAAGTGAGTGGGTGTGCTGGCAAGGATGCTGCAGAGTTGCATCCTCCTTGGTGCTTAGAGAGGGGATGATGGAATGGAGGGACTGTGTACCCTGAGTCTGTTCTGGGAGGCGAGACTCGGCTGTGACCCTTGGTTCCCGCCAGCTTTAGGGAAGTTGTCAAAATGGCTGTTCCTGGGGTGGGTGAGGGTAGGGAGCCCTGCAGACAGACCCCAGAGAGTCTCTTCCCCTCTGTTTAACTTCTATATGTGTATATTGTTCGATCTACAAGTATCTTCATTCAGATTGATTTTCTATATCAAGGTGTATGTCTTTCCTTTGCTTCAGTTAGCTCTGTTTTTGGGGGGGGGGTGTTTTTTGTTTTGTTTTGTTTTTGGTACTGGGGATTGAACTCAGGACCTTGAACTTGGGAGGCAGATGCAGCACCACTGAGCTAAATCCCCAGCCCTAGTTACTTCTGGTTTTAGTTGACCTTCTGTGAGTCCTACGTGACTCCTCCTCTGTTCAACCATGTTGAGTCTCCCCAAATTATATTTTTCTGAATCTATAAAGATTTAATCTAATTTTGGTTCATTCTTAGACAAAAAGTACACAATATTTTTGGATTTTTTTTGAGACAGGGTCTCACTGTGTAGTTCAGACTACAACTCACTTTAACTCACTGTGTACCTCAGGCTGGCTTTGAACTCAGAGATCCTTCTGCCTGAGCCTCCTGAGTGCTGGAAGTACAGGTGTGTGCCACCATGCCCAGCAAGTGGCTGTTCTGTTTTTTTCCTTAACCACTGGGGATTGAACCCAGGGCCTTTGCACGGAACCACATCCGCAGCCCTGTGTGTGTGTGTGTGTGCGTGTGCGTGCGTGTGTGTGTGTGTGTGTATGTGTATGTATATATATAAAAACAGGTTTTAAGTCACTGATTTACCCAGACTGAGTGCTGGAATTACAGGTGTGTACCTCCACACTGAGCTATCCTAAAATAAAATTTGAACAGAAACTGTTAATAACTCATTTGTGACTGCAAAATGCTACTTTAGCCCATAGAGACTGTGACGTATTCAGTAAGATATCTCATATATGCAAAGAAAAAATTGTTTCCAGTTTTAAAAAATTGTCCATTTTGTGTATTTTGCAACATATTTATTTCTTTCCCTAAGCTAGTTTAATGGTTTTTACAGAAATTCTGGAAGATAATGTGCTCTTAGTTGAGCTCTTTGATTCCTTTGGTGCTCCTGGAATGACTCCTACTAGTATTAATGACCAGCTAGTCCAAGAAGGCCTAGCATCTTATGAAATAGGGTAAGTAGATGGATAAAACTTTCATTTTGTTTCATATGTGACATTTTAATTGCAAGAAAATAATTGGAATTTTCCTGTACCTGTATCAGAAAACTCAAAGGGAAATAATCATTAGTCTAATTGAGTAGAGTGATTTTTTCCTTCATCCCTAAGAAATCTTAAAACCAAAAGAAAAGTTTCTCAAGATGCTTCTAAGAAAAAGAGACTAGCATCTTTTTTTTTTTTTGAAAACAACATTATTATTTTTTTTTATTAAATTCTTTTATTGGTATATTGTAGGTATACAACACAATTACATTTCTCATTGGGAATTGTACCTTTATATAA